GGTGCTGCACCACGATCTCGTCCTCTCCATCTCCAACCTCGGAGACTCTAGCAGGCGCCGTCTCTCTGAGGAGGTAGAGGAACTTGTTCCCGCCGTAGAAGATGTCGATGGCCTCTTTCCAGATTTCGTGGGAGGTGCGAAGGATGGCGGTATCAAGGCAAGGGCGGTTTCTGGGATAGAGCGTGGACCAGCCCTGGCGGACTTGCACGGGGTTGTCGGCAACAAGAACATATCCGTAAATTCTATCCCTGATCTCGGGAGGGAATTTCATGAACCAAATCTTGCCCGTTGGCATGTCTTGATCAGTAAGGTCAATGACTGAACCATGCTTCGGCTTGGGTGGAGTTGGATCCGGACTGGGAGGACTGTAGATATCATCATCGTCGCTCTCGTCCAGAAAAGGCGTGGCACCCTTGGCCTTCTTCTTGCCCTTTCCTTTGCCCTTGGCATTCGTTGCAGCAACAGCATTCTTGGGCTCGGGGGCTTTGAAAGGAGGCGGGGTGAAAGTCATCGGAGCACCCCAGGTGTAATGAGCCGTCGACTTGGCAGCGAACGCGGCGCCGTAGTCTCGAGGGATCGGCATCTCACGCTCAGTAAATTCATCCCATGTCTTCTTCTTGGCAGCCTTCCTGCGCTTTTGAGGGGGCTTTCGCATACCATCGTCGTCGCTGTCCGTCTCGGCGAGCTCGAAGCCGCGCTTTTGGGCGTACTTTAGAACCGCATCAGGTATTTGACGCTTGGGGGGTTTCTCAGCAGAGGCTCGCTCCTTCCCCTTCGATGACTTGCTCTTGGACTTGGAGGAACCGGTAGGAGCGGACTTGGACGAGCCAGCCGTGACGAATCTTTTCTTTCCAGAGGAAGAGAATTTGGACTTATTCCCGGGAGCCATCTTGAAGGTTTTGTTTTGTAGCTTCTGATTGTATCAGCGATTGTTGCCAGGAAGATGTCAGAAAACTTACTCAGATGAAGGGGGGTATATGATAATATTTGGAACTGCTGGATTATATGGTCAGTGTAGATGGCGCAGTCTTTGAACCCCGTGAAGTTTCACTTGCTGCCTTGTTGCTTCTTCATTCGTGAGATAAGTCTTTGTAGTGATTTGTCTCTTGTTTTGCAAGTAAGACACTTCTGCAACGAAGGTTGATGTCAAAGAGAAGGAAAGGTCATGAAGGTGAGATACGAGGTTGCGACCTTCCCAATGGGTGTAGCAGAGGAAGCAGACGAGAAACTTTTGAGGCAATCGTCAGCTCTCTCCAGAGTTTATGCCTCTGGTATTGGCAAGTACCTACTTGCCAACCGACCAGGCAGTGGACGAAATGAAACAGCAAACTCCACAAACATGTATTGAAGTTTGGTGAAACTTGTGAGTCACAGACGAAAGCTTCAACGCCACAATTCAATGCCAGGAGAACGAATGAAAACCGCGAAGAGACTGACGAGGAGTATTGTGTTGGTGGAGGATAGAGAAAGGCAAGATCCACGCTGGAGTGATAGTGTTGAGATAGATGCTGGCTCAACTCCAAGAGGCAGCTTCAGAGAAGTGATGCCTTCCCTTTGCGGCCGATGTAATGACAGGAAGAGGAGGGGCGGGCGAAGTGGTGATTAGAAAGAAACATGATTCCATCTTTGGCTTCTACGATGCCAATGTTGGTTATGGCAGGAGGGCCTTTTTTGAGTGACCATGGTCTTTCTGGATTCAGTTACTAATATTCACGATTTCATTTCGACTTGTTAACTATAATACAGTCCAAAATATGGGATATGTGTTACAACTTTTATTTCAGATCGCAACAATGATCACACCTTCGTTGAGATGAGGCCATCATGGTAGTTCAAAAAAAAGCGATATAAAAACAAATTCGCTGGGCAAACCGAGAGACGAAATCCGTTTGCTGATGTACTGTTTATCTTCAAACGGTGAGGATGCCACGGGCTACTGTAGCCACGCAAGTCATGAAAATACAATGAACCCAAGTTGTCATACGAAAGGTGACACAACGACGTTGGCAAAAAGGATTCCATCCATCATGTTCCATAACGATCCACGTTGTCTCAAGGGCTGACTGCATACACTAGTTGGAGTTGTTGTTCTCTCATCCCACCGGGCGGCCGCTGCGACCCCTGCGAAGACCCTGTACAAGTTTGACATCCGCGCCCTTTGGTCTTTATGCCCCTCATCCTCTAACACGGCGATCCACCATCGATTACGACGCGGGGTTCTTTCAGATATCGAAATAGGTCTTATTAATTAGGAGCAATTGACCAATGATCAGAAATGATACCTAGTACCTGAATTTCGATCTAAATGTTCCGAATACGCGGCTGATTCAAGAAATCGTCCGAACTATTGTCGATCCTGGCATCGGAAGCACTTCCGCTCCCCCACCTCGTAAGTCTGGATTTTTTCAATGTACACCCGAAAGCGAAGTTCCTTTCTCTCTTCAACCATCATCTTCCATTGCGCAGATTTCTCAATGAACACTGTTTTTGCTGTGGTTCTTAATGCGCAGTAACTTCTGATCCCCTCGTTGACTCAATTCCTCTAGCTTGAAGGATCGCCAAGTCTCCACATCCGTCACCCTAGTGCCGTAGACTCGACGTTTCCTATAAACATCGTGTCTCTACTTTCTTCGATAAACTTGGCTCTTACTTTCATTACCGAACACAAACCACCGAATCACCTTAAACATCAACCACAATGGGCTCGCTCGATTCAGACACCAAGAAGCCATGGATCCAAACACCCTGCATTGCATCTGCACCCCTCTCTAGGATAGCAGGATGGTACGTTCCAAAAGTACCATCAACCCAAACCAACTAACGGAATGTCTCCAGCAACATCTTCCTTAAGCTTGAGAACCACCAGCCCTCGGGCTCCTTCAAGTCCCGCGGCGTCGGCAACCTCATGTTCCGCGCCGCGGCCGCAGCCCCCGGCGCAGACGTCCACTTCTACTGCTCGTCCGGCGGCAACGCAGGCCTCGCCTGCGCGACATCCGCCATCGCCCTGAACCGCAAAGCCACCATCGTAGTACCCATGATCTCTTCACCGCTGATGATCTCCAAGCTGCGCCTGCTGGGAGCCGAGGTCCACCAAGTCGGCGAGAACTGGCCCCAGGCCGACCGCTACCTGCGCGAGGAGCTGCTCGCCAAGGACCCTGCCGGCGTCTACGTCCCGCCGTTCGATCACCAGCACGTGTGGGATGGCGCATCGACCATTGTCGACGAATTGGTATCTCAGCTGCCAGGCAGCGACATCAACGCCATCGTCTGCTCCGTCGGGGGCGGCGGCCTCCTCAACGGACTCGCACAGGGCGTTGAGCCGGAGCGCTGGCAGGGGACGAAAGGCCGGGAACCCCGTCTGATGGCCGTCGAAACGCGGGGAGCCGACAGTCTGAATGCGAGCGTGTTGGCTGGCGAGCACGTCACCCTGCCCGGCATCACTTCGATCGCCTTTTCTTTGGGCGCCACGAGGGTCTCTCAGAGGACGTGGGAGGTCTCGCAGAAGACGCCTGGTTTCCGGAGTGTGACGGTCAGTGATGCGGAGGCGGCCATGGCAACCGTGCGCTTCGTCGATGATGCACAGCTTGTGGTTGAGGTTGCTTGCGGCGCGACGATAGCTACTGTCTATAACGGCGTGTTGAGGAAGCAGCTGGGCTCGGGGATGTCGGATGAGGAATGGGCGAAGCAAAACGTTGTGCTCATTGTCTGTGGCGGTTCGAACATCACACTTGAGATGTTGAATGGGTACCGTGAAAAGTTCCGCGACGCATTTGAAAGCGCATGAGACAGAAGACGATGGTCTCTTTTTAGACGATAAAATTAGATATACACTGCCAAGACATGAAATAGAAGCTGATAACCAGTATGAGACGGTGGCTTTGCCGTTCTATGTGTCTTCTTGTGTTCTATCGTCATGTGCTTCGTCTATCTCGCATAAGCCACCTCTCGCGATTCCTCCGCTGCCTTCAACCCAGCAGGAGACGCCACAAACTGACCCAAGTCATTCAGCACCATCGTGACCTCCCCAAAGTAATTGACTTCTCCTTTCTGCGTGAAGCCAACTCTCTTGAATAGCGATATGCTCGCTGCGTTCCCCTCTTTGATCTTCACCATCAACCCCTTCAACTCAGCCTTTCCCCTCTTGCCTTCGCCCTCAACATACTCCTTTAGCATGCGCTCTTGGTTGCGGTGAACATACAACAGCAACGTCGTGACAGCAGCGTAACCTACACCCTTGCCGCGGTGCTCCTTCGCCGCCACCATAACGTCCACTTCACCGACATAGGCCCCCTCGCCCTCTTCCTCGTCGTCGTGTGGATAAACGAAAAAGTTGATGTCGCCAATCATGCGTGCCGCCGCATCAACCTCACCAGCCTTTACGCTGGCCGCATCAGAGGCCGCATCCAGGGGTTGGCAGATGATGAAGGTGAGCTTGTCATGGGACGTCCGCCATGATTGCTGGTTCTCGTATTCCTCCTCCAGCGTCAATGGCTCAGAAGCCGTCGCTTCTTGGATATCCTGTCACAAAAATAAGCATGTGCTTGGACGACGAGGCGGGTACTTTGGTGCGGCGTTTTGCTGACCGGATCACTCATCCACTCATGATAACGCTCCACATGTCTCGCTTCGTACGGCACAAGTGTCACCGCCGGCGTCGCGATCGCTGTGCTCTTGTAAGTCCTTCACATCCAAACGACCAGCGTCAACCAAATCAGACAGTGTCCTCAAAGTACATGCCTGTATTCTCATTCAATCGCATCGTGAAGTATGCCAAGGGTGTCCGTCTCAGGCACCAGATCCCCCACTTGCACCCTCGTCACAAAAACTAAAAATGCGAGCGAAGCCGGTGAGCTGGCCAGCGTCCCCGCCCTGCGCTCCACGTCTGCGTGCTGCCGCTGTCCGAAAGGGGCAAACAAACGACCCCGTCCGAGGAAGCAGACGCACGATGGCCGCGAGGTATGGACCCTCCGAACCCCTGGAAGTCCTCAACAAGAACAAGTGTCAAGGTGCCAGAGTGGTTAATGGGCTGCCCTGCTACGGAATGCCTCGGTTTACCGAGACAACCTAGCTGCCAGGCAGTGGCTTCGGTCGCGCAGGTTCGAATCCTGTCCTTGACGTGTTTTCTTTTTGCGCTTTTGAGAACGGCCGGTTGAGTCACTCGGTGGTGTAAGTTGCGAGCCGAATTTTTGGCTGAGGCGGAGTTAGTGCCCGAGCAAGCTTGGGCTTGGGTGGGTGGTCGGGTGTGTGGTCCACTAACGTCGCGTTCTGAGGTGGACAGGAATTGCGAGGTACTTAATGGACATTCCGCGACTTGCAATGCATCAACAGTCAAGGTGCCAGAGTGGTTAATGGGCTGCCCTGCTATTGTCCCTAGGACGATCGTTGTTCAGGCAGTGGCTTCGGTCGCGCAGGTTCGAATCCTGTCCTTGACGATTCTCTTTTGCTCTTCTTAATGAATCTGAGTGACACATTCTTTTTAGACCGGCGTTGCTTGTGCTGGCTGGCCTTGTTGCTGTGTGCAGCAGGTGGTGGGTGTGCGTACTGTTCAGGACCGAGCGCATGCCCTCATCTTATCTACTTACAACTAATTAATACCTAACCTATCTCGAGTTATCCTGTTGTTTCTGTGTCAGAAAACTTCTCATTATATACTGGCTGACTTAGTTACCGCCCGCTAATTTACACAAATGAAGTTAGGAAGAAGAGGCGGCTTAGTTTTAAGAAAAGTCACGCTTGATGCCTGGCTGACCTGGAGACCTTCTCTATCGTTCATCATCATATAATTACAGCATCTTACACTTCCACCAGTGATGGGGAGATTTTACATTTACGTTCAATTCATAGAGAACCTGGAAACGCCTAGACTCATTCCTCAGCGGCCTGCGGAGGGAATAAAGCGTTCCACTTCCCTTCCTTGCCTGGATCGCGCACCGGGACACCGTATGTCAAGTCTGCGCCAAAAGTCGCATCCTGGAAGCGCCGTTTGCCGGCGTCAACACCCATGGTATCCAGCAGGAGCCCCATCTTGGTCGGCATGACAGGCTGGAGCAGAATGCCCGCCACACGCGAAGCCTCCGCGGTGTAGAAGATGCACTCGTGGAGCGTGGCTTGGTCTTTGGGATCCTTCGACTTGACCAGCTTCCACGGTGCCAGGTGGGAAATGTACTTGTTCGCCTAGAAGCCTTATTAACATATTTTCCGCAGAGCATTTCCAGGGAAGCGCGCTTACGTCGGCGAGAACATCCAGCACACCACGGATGGCAGCATTGGGATTCAACTCATCCATGCTCTTTGACATGTCAGACGCCATGCCGTTGATACTTGCTTTCAGCTTCTCACTGCTCAACAGAGAGGTGCTATCCTCTTCCGCCCACACGACAGAGCTCAACAGAGAGGCGCTATTCTCTTCTGCCCACACGACGGAGTCCCTGAGCTTCCACGTTTTGCTCTTGGCAACCCTGTTCATCAAGTTGCCCACGGTCGATTGAAGATCCTTTTGATACCGCGCCACGACCAACGAGTTCTCGTAGTCAGCATCCTGCTCGATGCCGCCGTCGCGCATCATGAAGTACCGCATCGTATCCAACCCCCATCGGTCGACGGCAAAGAAGGGGTTAACGACGTTTCCCAACGACTTGGACATCTTCTTCTTCCCCAACGTCCAATGCGCATGGCTTAGCAACTGCTTCGGCAGTGGGAGATCCAGCGCCATCAGCAGCGCGGGCCAGTAGATTCCGTGGAACCGCACGATATCCTTTCCGATGACGTGCACGTCCGCCGGCCAGCCTCCCTCGTGCTCTTTCCCAGGCTGCCATGTCGGGAATCCGGCTTTCGTAAGGTAGTTAATGAGCGCGTCCACCCAGACGTAAATCGTCTGCGAGGGATCGTCCGGTACGCGAATGCCCCAGTCCAACCTCTGCACGGGTCTTGATATCGACAGATCCTCGAGATTATTTTGTACCCAAGCAATAACTTCCTTCTGCCTCGCCCTTGGTACGATCCAGTCCGGGTTCTCCTCGTAGAACTTCAGCAAGCGGTCCTTGAGCGCCGTCATGCGGAAGTGGTAGTTCTTCTCCTCGACCCACTCGACCTCGTTGCCCGTCTCTATCGACGCCATCACCGTCCGTCCCGTAGACGGCACCAACGTCCTCTCAACCTCATTCGCGGCGTAGAAGCACTCGTCGCTCACACAGTACCACCCCTCATGCTTACTCTCGTGGATATATCCCTTCTCCTTCAGCAGGAACCAGAAATGCTGCACAGCCTCCATATGGTCCGAGTCGGTGGTGCGAATGAAGTAGTCATTGTCCATGCCAATCACCTGCGCCAGGTCGCGGAACTTCTCGGCCGTCGAGTCGCAGAACTCTTTGGGGGCAACGCCCTGTTTGGCGGCCGCCTGCTGGACTTTGGACCCGTGTTCGTCGGTGCCGGTGCACAGGATCGCGGGCCTGCCCTTGAGGACCTGCCAGCGCTTGAGGACGTCGGCGAGGAGCATCGAGTACATGTGGCCGACATGCGGAGCTGTACATGTCCACATTAGCTCGCAGGTCTCCGTGATTGCGTCGGAACATCTTCACATACATGCATTGACGTAGAAGATGGGCGTCGTCACATAATACGGCTTTTCGCTCTTGCTGTCAGAGCTCGCGAACCGTCGCAATGTCGGCCCATAGCTGCACGAGGGGCAGACCCAGGCCGGTCGCAGCGCTGGTGCATAGCGGCGAGTGCGGAAGGCCGAAGCTGGGGGTAGTCTTAATTGTCTCATTTCGACTGTGTTCGTCAAAAAGCTACCTTTGGGAAAGCATGTCGCCGTCGAGCATGCAGGTAGATCGTGAATCGAAGGGTCTGCCTCTCGAAATGTTCTGACTTTCTGAGGGCACCGTACCAATTGAGTCGCGCGATAACGGTAGAGAGCTCTTATCGGTGAAAGATCCCTGCACCCCGCCGTAATTCTGACCGAGTCCCCTTCACCTCGACAACTTTGCGACAACCTGGAGTAAACAACAACGCTGCGCATTCGAAAAAGCTCCACGTCCTATTCCACAAAACATAGTCGAAGACAGGACAATACGATGTCTCTCCCATCTCGCGAAACGGAAATGAGGGCCTCCTCAGACGGTGCGCAACCACCCATCCCACCACCACCAGCACCACACTGACGCAGGCGCTCTCCTCCTCCAGCGGCCTCAAACTTCGCAGATGCCTACTACGACGCCCTCAACCGCCGCAAGCTCAAAGGCACAATGTCGCAGTTCTACACGACGGCCTGCTCAAAGTACCCCACGCCGCCCGACATCTCCGTCAACGGCGCCGTCCTCGCCAGCGGGCCCGACGAGTACACCACCCTCCTCGACACCCAGGGCCCCGACGTCCGCTACGAGATCGAGTCCCTCGACGCCCACGTCGTCAACGCGGACTTCTCCCTCGGCTGCCCCGAGCACCTCCAGGGCGGCGACAAGAACGGCGCAAAGTGCAGCGTCATGGCCCAGGTCACCGGCCGCGTCTACTACGGCAAGGGCCGCGACGCCGCCGCCAAGACGTTTAACGAGGTCTTCGTGCTGGTGCCGAACTGGGACACCTTTGGCAAGAACCCCCCGCGCGGCGTCAGGCGATGGTTGATTATGAGCCAGAACTTTCGCGCGCTGTAAGGTTGTGGGTGGATTGGCGGGCGGAGGATATACCCCAGAAGGAAGACATGTCGAGACGACCGGATTGCTTCACAATTCGTAATGAGAGAGGTGCGGGTAGTGACATACCGGTTGCTGGAGAGCTTGCTAACTTGGCGACAGAATTGGATTATGGACAAAAATCGGAGGTACAGGAGATCCCTGTCACTTTTCGACAGCATGAAAGCGAGGATGACCGTCTTTTAAGAACATCCCACAAGCGTGTGTCTCGGACAGGATAGCTCAATAACACATCAATTATCGGACAAACACGCTACCTATGCAAGCTGCTGCTTCCTGTACTTCCAGTATCCCGCCCTCACAGGATCCCACTTCTCCGCCAGTCGGTCGAGGTACTTGCGCGCCTCCTCCTTCTGGCCCTTCTCCGCGTACACGTCGGCCAGGAAGTCGAGCGCGTGCGTACTGCGCACCTCCTCCTTGTCCTCACCCTCTCCGATGCCGTTGACAAATTGCGCCGCGAACGCCTCCGCGGTCTCCAGTTTTCGTCCGCCCTTCACCAGCACACCCCTCAAGTAGTTCCACGCAGCCTGGTTCTGCGGTGCCAACAGCGCCTTCTCCTCGACGTACTTGACCTCCCTGTCAACGATGTCTGCGGGGACCTTCGGATCGTGCTCCGTCGCGTGCGAGCCCTCCGTCGAAGCCGCTGGGTCCGAAAACACGAGGAAGAACCGGTGCGACCAGGCCGAATTGTTCCTCACGTCCTCCTCGATCCAATTCTGCGTCGACAGCAGCTCCTGCAGGTTCCACAGCCCCAGCTTGCGCACCAGGTACTGCCTGTAGCTCCACACGTGGTAGTTCTTGGTATCCTCCTCAAGCATACGCGTGAGGAACTCCGTTTCGGACCTTCCGAAGCGCTTCACCTCGTCCGGGCTGCCCTTGATGTGGTTGTAGTGGTGGTCAAGCAGCAGCTGGCGGTGGTGCCAAATCTGGTAGTTCTTGATGTGCTCGAGCGACACCTCGTTGAGCCACTCGATCTCATCGATAACGGAAATGTCGAGCGCCTCGACGATCTTGAACCGGTACAGCCATACAGTGTAGTGTGCTGGGTTCATGGAGATAACGTGGTCCGTCAGCCGCAAGCACCGCGGGCTGTACTCTTCGGCGACCATGACGGCGCGCAGGTAGCTCATGACTAGAAAGAACGCGCACAAAGTCAGTGGGACATGATAGATGAGCAGAATCCCTGAGGCCACCATTTTCCGAAACAAGACACACACACATCCGTGCAAGACACAAAAAGAAGAAGTGAATTATTTACCCTCAGCATAGTCCTCGGGGTAAGCGATCGTAGCCAGCGCGCCCTCGGGCTCCTCGGCGGGGATGGGCACAACGTCGTCCCACTCCGGGTCGGTCGCGTACGGCCCCATCTTCTCCCCGTAGAGCTCCTTCCTAAGCGCCGCCATCTCCCGTCGTCTCTTCCTCTCTTCGTCAATGTCCTCCTGCGTGATCTCTGTGACCTTGCCCTCAGCCGCGTCGGGAACGCCGTCTCGCGCAAACTCTCTCCGCTGAAGGAACCTGCGGTGCAGCACTTCGAGCGCCGTAAGCTGCGCCTGTTTCGCGGCCCGAACGGTGAATTGGTCGATCGGGTAGTCGCCCAGGTCGCGCCCGTTCTTGTCCTTGCCCCAGTCGTAGACGACCTTCTGCTCGGCGCTTCTCGGCTTCTCGAGTCGGCGGATCGGCGGCGATTCCCTGCTGATCTGCTTCCAGAACTCGCGCTCTGCCTTGTTGGTGAGGAAGAACTCTCT